AGAGACGGGGTTTCACCATGTTGACCAGGATGGTCTCGATCTCTTGACCTCGTGATCCACCCGCCTCGGCCTCCCAAAGTGCTGGGATTACAGGCTTGAGCCACCGCGCCCGGCCGTTTGAACTTTTGACCTCAGGTAATCTGCACAACTCGGCCTCCCAAAGTGCTGTGATTGTAGGCATGAGCTACCATGACCAGCCAATCTCCTCCCTCTTTAACATCCAAACATATAAAGGTACCTCAGTAACTCCATATCAAGTAAAGAATGCCCTTATGGGCTACAGTCCAGATACTCATACTGCCCCCATAAGCCCAAGCCAAATCTAGAATAGGTGAACTTTGGTCCCCAGTGCCCGACCTTTGAGACAAATCCCCTCCACTGGCACAGCGCCCACACTCCCTGACCTGAAGAGATTGTGCTTCCTCCAGGCATCTTGGTCCTCTGTCCTGGCAGCCTCCAGGGTATGACCATTGCCTTCCTGGCCACTTTGCAACTGCTCCAACATCTGTCAGATCATGGGCTCAGGTGGAACAAAACCTCTCCCTCTCTCCTTCCCCATGACTGTCCTCTTCAGCACACTTGGAACCCTCATGTGGGTGAGGACAGTTTCTCATGGCAGGGAGCAGAAGGGTTAGGAAAAAGAGCTCTGGAAAGAGAAAGAATCAGCACAGGAAAGAGAGGGATGGAGATAGGACAAGAGAAAGTATCCTGGCCTGTGTGCAGAACAAGAAAAAGAGAGAAAGGAAGGGTCCTCCATAGAGAAATATGCAGAGACGAGTCTGATCCTAGTCCTACCTTATAACTGCAAGCCTGAGACTGTCATCCCTCAGCCAGCTGTTTCAGCAGCTCCTGGTGCTGGCCTGCAGATGAGAAAGAATGTAAGGGGGCTGTTCCCCAACTCCTTTCCTTCTCCCTCCCTGCCTGTGACCAGCCTGGTGCTGAAAACTGAGACAGAAACATTCTGGCTCAGCTATTGGGAAGCTTCCAAAGTGACTGAAGAGACTAAACTCACATCATGAGAGGCAGGGTGCAATAAAATACTTGGCCAGACTTCTCAGTAGCTCAGGCAGTTGGAGCCATGGTCACTTAATGGGAGAACAAGAAGACTTTCCAGGCCGGGTGTGGTTGCTCACACCTATAATCCCAGCACTTTGCAAGGCCAAGGCAGGTAGATCATTTGAGGTCAGGAGTTTGAGACCAGCCTGGCCAAGATGAAGAAACCTGTCTCTACTAAAAATACAAAATTAGCCAGGCATGGTGGCGGGCACCTGAATCCCAGCTACTAGGGAGGCTGAGGCAGGAGAACTGCCTGACCCTGGGAGGCGGAGGTTGCAGTGAGCCAAGATCACGCCATTGCACTCCAGCCTGGGCAACAAGAGCGAAACTCTGTCTCAAAAAAAAAAGAAGAAGAAGGCAAGGTCTTACCTATCACTTACTCAGTCTGCAGCTCCTGAGGAAGGCCATTGGTAGTACTGCACTTTCCTGGTCCTGATTGCATCTGAACTTGGGCTTGCTTCCACACCTGGCTCAGAAGGCCCATCTCAGCCCTCCTCTTTAGGCCCCCCTGCAGCAATCTTAATGTGATACTATAGTGGGACTAGTTGGGGATCATCCTCTCTAAGAGTTTCAGAAGAGCCCTACATACTCTACTTGCAAATCAAGATATATGTACACATATAACATGTGTGTGGCAAAATTGTGTGCATACATATGAAGTTGTGTGTACAAAGAAAAGAACTGGCCAAATACCTTCCAGGACACTGATCTGGTACTTCTGCTGCTCTCACTCTTCTAGCAGGCCCTGCACTACCTGCCTTAGTGCCTCAGTCCCCTACCCAGGCAGAAAAAAACACATGAGCTACTGTGTAACAGATTTTCCCAACCCCTAGTATCCTCATCTCACACAAACATCACATATACACACCAAGGACTCCAAGCCTTACCTGAGCCTGAGATTGAACCTGGGATCATAGAATAGTAACTTCATCTTAGAGAGAGAGGATGGGCTATAGGACTCAGGCCAGCTCAGCCTTTGCGAGGCTGTGGGAGTCTCTAAAGCCCAAAGCTGTTGAGCTTGGACTCCTAACTGCAGAGGCAAGTAGTGAGAGGAAATCCAGGTTTCAGACGGGTCCCCTGTTGAGGGAATAAGGAAGGGTTAAGTGCAGGGTCTATGTGGGGAAACAGAGTTTAGGAAAGGACAGAGTTGGAATTTGGAAGGCACTGGAAGAAGGCACAGAAAGAGAAAGGGGTTGGAAGTAGAAAGAGACATTACTTACCTGCGGTGGAGACCCCCAGAGGGATCCGCAGCTATAAAACAAACAGTTGCACGGGCCAATGAGCTCTGAGAGTCCCTTAACCTGCCCACGCAAACTGGGGGCCTCCACCGACGCCTCACCTTAATTTGGGACACTTTTCCATCAGTAGCGTTGAGAAGCACACCGAGCTGCTCAAACCAGCTGAGGCTCCTACTCATATCCTGTGGCGGGGAGCGGCAAGGGTCTGGCTCCCCGGTGTCTTGTGCTTGCTCTCCCAGCTGGGAATATCCAATGTACAGCCCAGGAAAAGCCACCACGGTAGATGGAAAGCGGGAAGTGAGGATGCAACATTCGGGATAGGGGGATGCACTATCAGACCAAAACTGCGATTCTGGGACTAGGGAAAGGAGGGAAGTTCTTAGGGAACTGGAGGAAAAGCGAGATATTCTGATGATACGCAGATATCAGGTGGGGGTTGAAGGTGCCAGAACCTGATCGAGACCTCCCCAGAACAAGTACACTGACGCTATCACGCCAAACCTGTGCAAGCGACACCTGCCGCCGCCGAGTTCAAAACTTCGTCTTGGTTTCTAAAGTCCAACTCTGGACTGGCTGCCGCAGGGCCACCTGGGAAACTGAGTTCGTCTCTAGCGAACACAACCGGCAATGGAGGCGGAGGAACGTAGTGTACATGCACACACCCATCGTTAAGCTTACTGGGAAACTGAGTCCTCCTGATTCCGCGTGGCTGTCTCCAAGGATCAAACAAACTACGCATCCCAAGATGCATGGCGCATAGCCAATAATGTCCCGCTACTGGACCCAATGCTATCTGGGAAACGTAGTCGAAGCTGCCTTAAAACGTAACGGCTCAGTAGTCCTTGAGACTTCATTCCCCAGCAACCTCGGCGTGTAACGTGCGCTATGGAGCCGAAAGTAGCAGAGCTGAAGCAGAAAATCGAGGACACGCTGTGTCCTTTTGGCTTCGAGGTTTACCCCTTCCAGGTTAGTTTATCCCTCCTGCTGTTCTAGGGTCCTGCTGTTCTAGGGCGACATGATTGGCTTCGTTGCAACTAACATTAGGCCTCGGGAGCCTCTGATCTTCCTGGGTTCCTGTGGCCCGGTGTCCATTTGACGACAGAGAAAGAGTTTCACTGGGGGCTTGGGTTAAAAAGGTATTGGTCGCGGCCAGGCATGGTGGCTCACGCCTGTAATTCCAGTACTATGGAAGGCCGAGGTGGGAGGATCACCTGAGGTCAGGAGTTCGAGGCCAGCCTGGCCACCATGGTGAAACCCTGTCTCTACTAAAAAATGCAAAATTAGCTGGCCGTGGTGACGCATGCCTGTAATCCCAGCTACTCCGGAGGCTAAGGCAGGAGATCGCTGGAACCCAGGAGGCGGAGGTTGCAGTGAGCCGAAATCTCGCTATGGCACTCCAGCCTGGGCAAAAAGAGTGAAACTCTGTCTCAAAAAAAAAAAAGTAGTTGTTGCATGTTTGTCCTTTTACCTCTATATAATGCTGGATTGGTTACAGGGAGACATCATATGACCCATGACCTATATGACCTGTGACCTATATAATGCTGGATTGGTTAACGGGAGACACCATATGACATAACATGTGTGGCTCAGATTGTCACCTATATAAATTACAAAAAGAAAGGGACCTGTGAGGCAGAGTCACCTTGGAACTTCCTAAAGGATTTAGGAGAGGACAAAGCCTAGAAGGTTTGCATAGCTATGATTTAGGTCAGCTGAGGAGGGAAGGGCATTCCTGGTGATGAACAAGCAAACAATTGGCTGGTTTGTTCCCTCTACCAACAGAAGGGTAATTCATGACATTGCCAGTCATCAGTGCTGGGCTGAGTAATGAAACTTTGTGCATTTGCCTGGCACAGCAGTCTCGGCACTGCACCCCCACCCCCATTTACACAGGTACATTTCCCCACATCAGTGCCCTGTGCTCTGAGCAGTTTACTTAAGTTACAAAGCTAAATCAACTCAGTTTGAGCCCTCTGCCTGATGCTTAAGAGACAGCCCACTTCCCATTCCTTCCACTGAGTGGCTCACAGTAGTGCTGGGGGAGGATATAGAGGGAGAAGGCTGGGTCTAGTTTGAGAGCAGTCTTGCCAGAAAAAATGAAATTGAGCTATATATGAAAAGATAGAATGGAAGGAAGGAGGGTTATGTACATCCCAAATACCAGAAAAAACTTGAGCAAAGGTGTGGAGACAGGGGTGGTGTTACCAAGTAAAGGGGCTTGATGCCTGATGTGCTAAAAGCCAATATTATAACACTGGGTTTTTGAGAAAAGAAAAGCTATTTGTTGCAGATCAACCTTTAACTCTTTGAGACACTGTTTCAGTGGATGGCAGGTGAGAATGTCTATTCTGGCAAGTTGAGTAGACCTGGGTATTGGAGCTTTTGTACTGAACAAAGCCAACTGCAGCCCTGCCAGTCATCCTAGGCTCCTACCTCTCACCTCCCTACTCCACATCCAATCAGCCACCAAGACCTACCTATAAGACTGTCTACTGAAGCCAGGCACAGTGGCTCATGCCTGTAATCCCAGCACTTTGGGTGGCTGAGGCTGGTGGATCACAAGGTCAAGAGATTGAGACCATCCTGGCCAACATGGTGAAACCCTGTCTCTACTAAAGATACAAAAATTAGCTGGGTGTGGTGGCATGCACCTGTAGTCCCAGCTACTCAGGAAGCTGAAGCAGGAGAATTGCTTGAACCCAGGAGGTGGAGGATGCAGTGAGCTGAGATTGCACCACTACACTCCACCCTGAGCAACAGAGCAAGACTCTGTCTCGAAAATAAAAAGAAAGACTGTCTAGTGAATCTCCCAAATCCATTCCCTTCTATTCCACCCATCTATACCGTGGTCCAGGACACCATTTCTCACTTGGATTACTCTAATAACCTCCTTGCTGTCATTTTACCTCCAGTCCATGCTCCACACTGCAGCCAGATTGATCTAAAACTGATCATGCTAATTTACTCCTTAAATCTTCAGTGGCTCTTCATTGTCACCAAATTAAATCCATATTCTTTAAATTGGTATTCAAAGCCAATCACAATCTCACTACTATTGATCTCTCCAGCCTTCACTCCCTCTGATCCCTTCTAAAGACCCTTCACTTCCACCAAACTAGACAATTTTCAAATATGCCCCAGAATTTTCTGCCAGTGTGTTTGCTTATGCTGTGACCTCTGTTTATTTTATTATTTATTTATTTAGAGACAAAGTCTCACTCTGTTCCCCAGGCCAGAGTGCAGTGGTGCAATCATACCTCACTGCCGCCTCAAACTCCTGGACTCAAGAGATCCTCCCACTTCAGTCCCCCAAGTAGCTGACTCCAGGCATGCACCAACACACAGGGTCTCACTTTGTTGCCCTGGCTGGTCTTGAACTCCTGGCCTCAAGTGATCCTCCTGTTTTCGCCACCCAAAGCACTGGGATTACACACAAGTCACTGTGCTCAGTCTGTGACCCTCTTTTTAAAATACACACCAGTAAGTTTATGTCTTTTTTGGAGAAATATAAATAATAAATAAATGCACACCAGATTCTCTTCCCCACATCAACCTGACAGTTGACTTTCCAGCCTTTAAGACTTAGCATCCAAGAAAGCCTTTTCTAATTTCAGAGGACCCTCATCTGGCCCTGTCATTGCACTAGCCATAGTAGAGTCATTTCTATTGTTCTTAGTGGTTCTGCCTCTCTATTAGAACTCTCTGTAGCCAGGTGCAGTGGCTCATGCCTATAATCCCAGCACTTTGGGAGACCGAGATGGGGAGATTATTGGAGGTCAGGAGTTCAAGACCAGCCTGGCCAACGTGGTGAAACCCCATCTCTACGAAAAATACAAAATTAGCTGGGTGTGGTGGTGTGCACCTGTAATCTGAGCTACTTGGGAGGCTGAAGCAGGAGAAGTTCCCTGTCATATAATACATGAACTGATAGTAGACATGAAGGGGAACAGACCTAACCACAACAGTCACATTTAAGCACTGACACAGATTTCGCTTATCTGTTACAGCAGTTAATACCAGCTACAATCAAGTAAGTAATGGTTATCCCACTCTGTCCCATTAATGCACAACCCCCCAGGTATCCTGTGTAGACCTGTGTCACGTGTTCTGCACTATAAGTCAGAAAACCCCAGTAAGTGATGCAGGTATATCCATAGCACTTTGTGTGAACAGCCGCAACCTCCACAACTACGTGATTTAGCAAGTTCATTGCAGGTTATGTTACAGGTCTTTGGTTCAGGCTTCTTGTGACATCTCTTCTCCATGTTCAGTGTGTGAATGTGGGTACAGACTGTGTTTCAGTGGAATCCAATTTCTTGGATGTACAGGCCAAGTGGACCAAAGCAAATATTGCGTATCCTAAAACTAAAAACAAAGTTTGCATTAATCACAACTTCGCTTTGCTGATTGGTCAACCTCGAAAACAAGCTTGCTGGCTGGGAACAGTGGCTCACCTGTAATCCCAGCACTTTGGGAGGCGGAGACTGGCGGATAACCTGAGGCAGGAGTTCAAGACCACCCTAGCCAACATAATGAAACCCCGTCTCTACTAAAAATACAAAAAATGCACCAAGCATGCTGGCAGGCACCTATCATCCCAGCTACTTGGGAGGGTGAGACAGGATAACCCCTTGAACCCAGGAGGCAGCGGATGCAGTGAGCCAAGATTGCACCACTGAACTCCAGCCTGGGGAACAAGAGCAAAACTCCATCTCAGAAAAAAAAAACAAACCACAAAATTGCTAATAGGGATTTTGTAGACTAATATGGTGTTGAGCATGGTAACAAGAAAGTCTGTCAAAAGTAGGAAAACCCCATCCTGGGCAACATAGGGAGACCCTGTCTCTACAAAAAATTATTTTTTTGTTTTAATCAGCTATCCAGGTGTGGTGGCTCACACCTGTGGTCCCAGCCACTCAGGAGGCTGAGGTGGGATAATTGCTTGAGTGCGGGAGGTTGAGGCTGCAGTGAGCTATGATCACATCACTGCAGTCTAGCCTAGGCAACAGAACAAGACTGTCTCAAAAAGTAGGAAAACCCCTGATGGGCTCAAGTCAGAGGTTAAGTACATTTCTAGCCTCTTTAGTAGTGTCAATTCATCCTTAACTGATAAAAGTTTTTTTTGTCCTGGTACAGAAGCTCATGCCTGTAATTTTAGCACTTTGGGAGGCCAAGGTGGGCAGATCACTTGAGGCCAGCAGTTTGAGACCACCCTGGCCAACATGGTGAAACCTCACCTCTACTAAAAATACAAAAAATTAGCCAGGCCTGGTAGCATATGCCCGCAATCCCAGCTACTTGGGAGGCTGAGGCACAAGAATTGTTTGAACCCAGGAGGCAGAGGTTGCAGTGAGCCAAGATCATGCCACTGCACTCTAGCTCCTGGGCGACAGGGAGACTATATACATTTTTTAAAAAAAGGTTGGTTTTTTTTTTTTTTGAGACGGAGTTTCACTCTTGTTACCCAGGCTGGAGTGCAATGGCACGATCTCGGCTCACCGCAACCTCCGCCTCCCAGGTTCAGGCAATTCTCCTGCC